CAAAGCCATCCCACTTAACTCAGGAACACGGCAAGGCTGTCCACTCTCGCCATACCTCTTCAATATAGTGCTTGAAGTTCTAGCAATAGCAATAAGACAACATAATGGGATCAAGGGGATTCGAATTGGAAAGGAAGAAGTTAAACTTTCGTTATTTGCAGATGATATGATAGTGTACATAAGCGACCCCCAAAACTCCACCAAAGAACTTATACAGCTGATAACAGCTTTAGTAATGTGGCAGGATACAAGATCAACTCCAAAAAATCAGTCGCCCTCTTATACACAAAGGATATGGAAGCAGAGAGGGAAATCAGAGAAGCTTCACCATTCACGATAGCCACAAACAGCATAAAATATCTTGGGGTAAATCTAACCAAGGAAGTGAAAGATTTATTTGACAAGAACTTTAAGGCATTGAAGAAAGAAATTGAAGAGGATACCAAAAAATGGATGGACCTCCCTTGCTCTTGGATTGGGAGGATCAACATAGTAAAAATGGCAATTTTACCTAAGGCAATTTATAGATTCAATGCAATCCCCATCAAGATCCCATCAAAATTCTTCACAGATCTGGAGAAGACAATAATCAACTTTATATGGAATAACAAAAAACCCAGGATAGCCAAAACAATCCTATACAATAAAGGATCTTCTGGAGGCATTACCATCCCTGACTTCAAACTCTATTACAGAGCTACAGTAATGAAAACAGTGTGGTACTGGCATAAAAACAGAGAAGTCGACCAATGGAATCATATAGAAGACCCGGATTTTATCCCACAAACTTATGAACACCTCATTTTCGATAAAGGAGCTAAAAGTATACAATGGAAGAAAGAAAGCATCTTCAACAAATGGTGCTGGCACAACTGGATGTCAACCTGTAGAAGAATGAAAATAGACCCATATCTCTCACCGAGCACAAAACTCAAGTCCAAATGGATTAAAGACCTCAATATCAGCCCGAACACACTGAACCTGATAGAAGAGAAAGTGGGGAATACCCTACAACAGATGGGCACAGGAGATCGCTTCCTATGTGTAACCCCAGAAGCACAGACATTAAGGGCAACATTGAATAAATGGGACCTACTTAAACTGAGAAGCTTCTGTAAAGCAAAGGACATGGTCACTAAGACACAAAGGCAACCTACTGACTGGGAGAAGATTTTCACCAACCCCACAACAGACAAAGGTCTGATCTCCAAAATATATAGAGAACTCAAGAAACTAGACTTTAAAATGCTAATTAACCCAATTAAAAAATGGGGCACTGAACTGAACAGAGAATTCTCAACAGAAGAAGTTCAAATGGCCCAAAAGATACTTAAGGAAATGTTCAACATTCTTAGCTATCAGGGAAATGCAAATCAGAACAACTCTGAGATACCATCTTACACCTGTCAAAACTCACAGAGATCTGCCTGCCTCTGTCTCCTGAGTGCTAGGATTAAAGGCATGTGCCATCACTGCCTGGCCATTCATGAGTATTTATTGAAATAAACTACTTAAGGCTAAAGTTCACCTAACTATAGATGAATTGAGAAATTATCATGGAAGAACTAATGTAAAATTTGGTGTAAAAAAATCTGAGGAGGTCTGTTCTCTTCTCTCTCCCTCTCCTCCTCAAGAGTAAGATTCATAAGCTGTCTAGAGCAGATTGATCTCCACTCTCTTCTGTCAAGTGACAAGATCTACCAATTGTCCTTCTTTGAAATCTTGGTCATCATCACTCCTTGTAACATCTCCTCTTCTCTCCTCTTTCCTCTCCATCCCTTCTCTCTTCTTCCTCATCCTCCAAAGAAATAAGGTTGATCAGTAGTCCAGGCTGGACTTTATCTCTCCTCACTTTGGGCAAGTAGTGAGGTCGGCCAGTTGTCAGTCTTCCTAGGTTGGCTTATGGTTTTTGGGTCAGACTCAGGTTCTTAGGTATTGTGGCAACTGCCTCTACCCATCACTTTAACACATATTTTGTTCTGCTCTGTCTCCCTACAAATCTACAGACTCTCCTGGAAATGGTGATGGCAGCTAGGCCAGGCCAGACCAGGCTGTAATGGATCTACAGTGTGCTATGAAGCCTAGAGCCCTATATTGAGCCTCAAATTAGAACTGGAAGGTACATTCACTGTACTCATACTAACATCTAAAAGTGTGCACCAGGGAATATGGACTGCTCTCCCTCCCATAGCACTAATTACACAGCTGTGACCTACACAAAAACAATTTTTATCATCTGAACATAGAAAGATGTTCCTTGCCCTGTTCACATAACTTGCAAGTGGTTCTGTACTTCCAACCTAGCCCATCTGTCCTCTTCCAGTATATTCAATAAAATGTTTGTATTAAAAATATCTTTGAGGAGGGGCTTGAGAGATGACTCAGTGGTTCAAAACACTTATTGCTATTTTCAGAGGAATTTGGTTCTCAGAGTACATCTTAAGAATGTTGACTAAAGAATTTTATACCAAGCTAAACCATACTTCTCAGTGATGTGAGACTTCAGACCTATAAATGTTCGTAAGGGTCTACTTCTGTTGAAATGAAGCAAGGGATAAGATAATATGGATGATTCAGACATGAGGAAGGAAGCTGGGAATTCCTTTCAATTTGAGTTCATAGGTTTATCTTGATTCTCTCCTTAATCTTTACGGAGAGAAAGTGTTAAAAAATTAACTTGTAAAGATAAAAAGGATGGAACAAGAGTAAACGTCAAAGAAAACAATCTAATTTTGGAAGGTGCAAAGAATACACGCAAGTGGTAACTAACAGACTGCGTTATTTTCTCTTATTAAGAAGGTTATTAATAATAGAAAAATCAATTCCAGTTAAATAATGATTCAAGTGGAATGTTCAGAGAAAAACTAAAACTAAAAGTGGCTGAGAATCTCCACGAGGAGCGGTTATATCTGAGACTTCCCTTCCCATCTGTAAAACAAGGCATGTTTATTTTACTCTGAGTGTCAGACAATGTCAGAGCTCTGTACTGAGGTATTGATAAGTAACAGCAAAAGCAAAGACAGAAGTTGGACTTTAGTGTGGAGAAGATCGAAAATTCTGCAGAGAAACATTATCATGTTTCTCCCATACCAAGGAGTTCAAAAGGCCAGGTGCCAAGTTTTTAATTCCTTCCACCCTGTCCACTGACATTGTTTTTGAATTCCTCTCTGGAAAATGACATGGGTCCATGAGAGAACTTACAGATTTTTGGTCCTAAAATAAATAGTCTCTCCCTAAGTTAAGGTTGACCACTCAACTGGTCTCAACCAAATACAGGATATCTAATAAGCATTTGACTTCTAGGAAACTGATCAGTCATCCAAAAAGTGTGTGAAGGAAACTTTCTAACATGAAGACAGAGATATGAAAATAAAGAAAATAATAACTTAAACATAAATGAAAATGTTATTAGAAATACTTTTAAAACTTAAAATTAATGCTTTCAGAAGTATCATAAAATACTTGACTTCTGTAACAAAATGAAAGAACACTATAGACAAGTTAACAATATAAATTTAAGGGTTAAAACAATAAAACGGTGTTATAAAATATTGACCTCAAGTGTAAAGGGCAAAATTAAAAAGCCCTTCTTAGGAAATAGCATAATCATCATAATTTTTCATTAGGGAGTGATTTCCAAAATATGACACCTAAAGTACAAACCACCAAATAAAAATCAAAACATTGGGTTTACCAAAGTGTTTTTCTTCAAAGGACATTATCAACAAGGTAAAATGATAGCATACAACAGGAGAATTGTTCATAAAATGTTCATAAATTATTTGATAAGGCTCTAGTTTAAACTGTATTGCTACAATTCAACACATAGGAATGCCATTGGAGAATATACTCAAGTGGCCAATAAACACATGGAAATCCTCTCAATTCCGGTCATCATCTGGGAGCTGAAAAGTCAAACCAGAGTAAGGTGCTTCTCCACACACAGGATGACAACAATCAAAAACAAAACAGGACATGGAGGAATTCATTTCTCTGTACACTGTTGGGAGGAATGTAAAATGGCATTCTCTTTGAAAAATACTTTGACAATAACTCAGTAACTCAAAAGATATCATTATGCAGCACTCAGGAAGCAGAGGGAGGTGGATCTCTGTGAGTTCAAGGCCAGTCTTGTTTACAGAGCAAGTTCCAAGACAGCCAGGGTTACACAGAGAAACCCTGTCTTAGAAAACAAAGATATAGTCCCTTTGCAACACAGTAATTCTAATCATAGGCATGTCTCAAAATAATTAAAAACATATGTGCAGAAAACCCTTATACATGAGTGCTTATAGCATCATTATTTATAATATTCAAAGTTTCTTATGTCTAATGAGAAAAGTATGGTACATTCATCCAATAGAAAATACTGATATATATTATAACAGGATGGGCCTTAAAGTGTTATGCTAAGTGAGAAAAGCCAGACACAAAATGCTACATATTATATGATTTCATGTATATAAAATGTACAGAATGAATAAAATCCAAAGATACAGAAAACTGATTAGCAGTTTACCATGGACTAGAGAGGTGTGTGTGTGTGTGTGTGTGTGTGTGTGTGTGTGTGTGTGTATGTATCTGTCTGTCTGTTTTAATTGACACCAAGTTCATTTTTGGGGTGATGAAAGTATTTCAATTTTGATAGTGATAATAATTATACACAGAGGTATATACATTATATACCACTAGGAAATAACCACATATTAATTAAATCTCACCATTTATTTTAAAACATAAAAGCCACCATAGAAAGAAACATTCATGGAACATGAATGAGCTGTTTTAAAGCAATACTATGATACCAAAGACTGAAAATTTAATCAGATGAATTTTTAAAAACTAGCTGGAGAATATCTACATTCTGGTAAAAATAAAAACAAAACATAGCAAGCATAACAAAGATAAGAAAACTTAAGCTATGTGTAGTGGCCCTACTATGAAATCCCACCACTTGGTAGGCTGAAGTGAGATCTCAAGTTCAATGCCATCATGGCCAATGAAGTTCCAGCATGCCCTAGGGTACATTAGACCGTATATTAACAAGAAAGAAATAGAAAACTTAAACATTAAACAACCTACTATTGAGCAATTGATTAACGAAAGATTAAAATAAAAAAATTCTATCAAACAAATGAAAATGAGCCCAACACTCTACAGTCAATGAGATACAGCAAAAGCACCATTAAAAGGGAGATTTATAGCAATCAGTGCAGCCACTTAAAGAAAATAAAGCTCCGAGATAAACAGTCCGTCACCGTGCTTCAAAGGACCAAGAGGACAAGAACAAACCAAGGTCAAAATTAATAGATGAAAAGAACCAGTAGGGTAGAAACAAGCAATCAAGAGGCTGAATAACCCAGGACAGATGAAGGCAACCGAGAGCAGTTCTTTAAAAATAGAGAGAAAGCTGACAACATTTGCTTCGACTAAAAGTGAAAGAAAAGCAAACCAATCAGAGATGAAAATGGAGACACTGCAATCAACACTACAAAAACCTAAGAGATGGCGAAAGACTATCAATAATGAACAGACATCTGGGAAATAATTTTATAACCTAGACAAATTGTTGAAGAAACTTGGCAGGGCAAAAGTAAATGTCAGTTATTTAGAAGTCTTTTATCAAAGAAAGGTCAAAGATTAAACGGCTGAGCTACTGAATTTCACCAAATATTTAAATTATTCTCTGCATGTATGTGGCTACCCATGGGCACCCAGAGAGGGCACTGGATCTCACTGTTACTGGGATTAAAGTCTGTGGTGAACTACCAGATATGAGTACCGGGAACTGAACTGGGGTCCGCAGAAGAATATTTGCTCTTAAGCACGAGTCATCTTTCCAGCAGCCCCCTAGAGTTTTAACCAGATGTTATAAGTTTACCGTAATTCACTTTTAGAGAACTGTTCTCATTCGTTAGCTTGTCTCATTTACATTCATATGAAGAACTTATTGACTTATTTTTTTTCTTTTTGATGTTGGGCATTGGATCCAGGGCACCGTGCATGCTAAGCACATTGGGCTGCACCCCGAGCACCAGACATTATTTATTTCAGAACGATGCTGACTTAATGACAATTTTCTGGTGAAAGCATACTTATGTGTCTTCTTTGTGCTTACTGGGTATGTATTAGTTATACAGAGCACATATCACGTTAAAAGAATGAGAATAAATAGCTACACACCAAAACCATTTATGTGAAATGAATCACAAGTGTACCAATAAGTCTATCACTTTTTGATAAACCAAGTTTTTCAGAATGCCAAAAGATGATTTAATGAAATTTTATCAATTTTTAAAGAAAACACTCAATTTAGAAACAAAGTCTTGATTAATCAACGGTTCAGTTGAAGAAAGAAAATAGAGCTCTTGAGACAACTTGCAGCAGATTCATAAGACCTAGAAGATCATGAAAAGGTTCCCATAATTGAAAATTATATTTAAAGCTGAAAGCCATCATTTGCAAGAGCGTTAAATTCATGCTAATGATAAACATAACTTTTAAAACACGGGTTCTTTGATTACAAGAAATCAACGGACAGGCTTAAATACCGGGGACCTGAAAACATCAGTGACATTGTAAAATGTGTGGTGAAAATAATACCACCAAGCAAGGACATTTTGCAGCTATTTCGTGCACTTGAGCGTAAGCTGGCTAACAAAAATGCAAGGAATTATCAACAATTAGAAACAGCTATAAATGTGACTATTAGTAACGTGCTAATTCGCTCCTTACAATGAGTGAAAAGTTGGAAAATTACACATGCATCAGTGAAGACAGTAATTCATTCCACAAGATCAAAGCACGATTTCTAGTTAAACCCCAAATGATCCCTAAAGTTGAAATGTTCCTCATCGTTCCGATAAGCCGCTTCATCCAAGAAGTTGGGAAGTACTGGTTTAAGAAATTTGAACTCATTTGTTCCCGTACCTCCCGTCAGACACACCTCATACTGGTAGCTCTGTGACAGGGTCCCCGTGCCACTGACATCAACCAGGTGTCCAGGAAAGTGGCCCTCAGGCAAAGAGCAGCCACCCAGAGAGGAAGCCCTGGCCCTCTTGCACAGCCTCACCCCCACGAAGAGCAGCACAGACAAGAAAAAGAGCGAAGACACAGATGCCAAGGCAATGACCAGGTACAAAGTAAGCAGGTCTTCCTCCTGTGTGGGGTCGCGCGCCACCTCTGGCAGAGGCAGGAAGGGCTGAGAGAAGCCATCAACCACCAGCACATGCAGAGTGACACTGGCAGACCGCGGAGGATCGCCATTGTCCTTGACCAGCAGCAGCAGCCTGTGCTTGGGTGCATCGCGCTCACTCAGCAGCCTGGAGGTGCGCACCTCGCCATTGTGAGCCCACACGCTGAACAGCCCTGGCTCCGTGGCCTTGAGCAGCTGGAACGACAGCCAGGCATTCTGGCCAGAGTCACTGTCCACAGCCACCACCTTGGTGACCAGGTAACCAGGCTCTGCCGCCCTGGGCAGCAGCTCTGTGCAAGGCGCAGAGGCATTCTGCAGAGGGTAGAGCACGAAGGGCGCATTGTCGTTGGCGTCCAGCACCAGCACGCGCACCAGTGCCTGGCTGCTGAGCGCGGGCGAGCCTTGGTCTGTGGCGCCCACGAGGAACTCGAAGTTCTGCAGGGCCTCATAGTCAAGCGCCCTGAGCGCGAACAGCTGCCCGTTGTTGTCATTGATGGAGATGAGCGAGGAGAGGTCCAGCTGCGGGTCGTGGGTTGGCAGCAGCGAGTAGGTGATGTGGGCATTGGAGCCTGAGTCTGAGTCTGTGGCGCTGATGGTGCCTATGTGCAGGGCGGGGCTGTTGTTCTCCTGGACAAACAGGGTGTAGGAGCTTTGAGTGAAGGCGGGGGCATTGTCGTTGACGTCAGACACCTGCACTGTTATGGTGTGCTGGGTCGTGAGCCTGGGTGTGCCCATGTCGCTGACTGTGATGGCGATGTTGTACTCAGATCTGCTCTCTCTGTCCAGTGCGCCTTCTGTTACCAAAGTATAGAAATTATCTCCATTAGGTTTCAAGAGGAAGGGAAGTTGGCCTTGGATGGAGCAAATCATTTTCCCGTTCTCTCCAGAGTCTGGATCTGAAATTCCAAAGATGGCAACTACAGTTTCAGGAGAATTTTCTGGAATATCACTGATAAGTAATGACATGATGAGGTCAGGAGCATTGTCATTTACATCCGTCACTTCTATTACTACGGTGCATTTTCCTGAAAGACCTCCCCCATCAGAGGCCTCGACTTCCATGCGGTAAGACTGAATTTCCTCAAAGTCCAATAGTCTTCTTATTCTAATTTCTCCGGTGTCTGTATTTATTTCAAAAGCCCGAAGCACCTGATTTGAGGATTGAAAAAGCGAATAGGACAGCTCTCCGTAGACCCCAGCGTCTAAATCTCTCGCGGACACGGTGATAACAAGTGAGCCTATGGGGCTGCTCTCTTGAACCTGCACCTCATAGAGCCCCTGGGCAAATTCGGGGGCATTGTCATTAATGTCCAGGACCATGATGAGAACCTGGGTAGTCCCAGTCTTGGGAGGTGTCCCGCCGTCCAGAGCCGTGAGTGTTAATCTAACCTCTGCCTGCTCCTCCCGGTCCAGTGCTTTGTCTAACACCAGCTCAGGGTATTTCCTACCATCGCTGTGATTGCGGGTGAGAAGGTGGAAATGGGAGTTGATACTGATTGTATAGTTCTGAACTGTGTTGCTACCTACATCCAAATCTTGAGCTATTTTCAGTGGAAACTTGGTCCCTGGATGGCTACTTTCCAGGATTTTAAGGAGAATTTCATCTTCCATGAATTCTGGCGCATGGTCATTTACATCTTGGAGCTGTATTTCCCCTTGAATAAATTGCACTGGGCTCTTTAGTAACACTTGGAAATATAGGATGCAAGGGTCCGTGCTCCCACATAACTCCTCCCGATCCAATTTCTCTTTCAGAACCAAATTTCCACTCTTCTGTTCCAGCTGCAAGAGTTGCTTGTTCCCTTTGTTAAGAATCTGGGCGCCCCTGATGACCAGATCCCTTAAGCCCAACCCCAAATCTTTTGCCAGGTTGCCCACCAAAGAGCCCCTGTCTGTTTCCTCTAGAATCGAATACTTAACGGTCGCACTGCCTGCCTCCCACAATAGTAAAAGAAAGACAATGGCGGTCACTTGCCTTTCCTGTAGTGCCTTGTAAAGTGGTGTCTCCATCGTTCCTCAGGTCCAAAAGAAGCAGCAGTTAATCACACAAGAATTGCTCTGTGAGCAACTCAGGAGTCTTGGCTCAATAATTTTGAGCTTCTTTTCTTTGTGACATTGCTGGATGCGGTGTATCTGCCTCTCTGAAAGGAGCTATCGGCAGAAATGTTAAAAAGCTTCCCTTCTCAGCGGCAAATGGCTCTCTCTGCTTTTACAGTCATGCAGGCTGCAGGTTTTTGTGTCTTAGCCTGCAGCGCCACCAAGCGTTCTGCTTTACAACTTCAGATAATTTTGTTTCAAAGTGCTCTGTAAGGGCTAAAGCACTCACCATAGAGGCGGAAGTGTTCTATTCTCTCTTTCCTCTCCTCTTTCCCCCAACCCTCATTTGACAGCCCTAAGATAGCTAATCTGCGTGAGAGAAATGTATCTTCTTAAATATATCTTCATAAAGGTAGAGTCTCATTACAGAAAGCTCTGCAGAGACTGCCAATCATTTAACAATTGTTTTATACAAGTATTCATTTAGCTTCTGACCTTGGAGGAGACACAAATTTTTTTTGGACTTGGAAGACTTTTCATTTTATTATAAAATTTACTAACTTTTTTGTTTGTAAATAAAAATATTATTAAAAATTCCAGCTTCTAACTTCCAAATGGCAATGTGCCTATAACTCATGAAGAAAAAAACTAAAAGGTGATTTTTGTTTGTTTGTTTGTTTGTTTATCATCTCTGTGGTATGCAGTCTTAGAAACTTCCATTCATAAATGTGCCGTATGTGATGACCAATAAAATTGAATGGAGCTATCACTTATAAGTTCTATAAGTAGTCAGCTCTGGCTCAGAGTTCAACTGTCTTTTCTACAAAGAAGAAGAAAAAGATAATGAAGTCAATGAAGTAGAAATGAAGGGAAGGATTTTGACCTATGCGCCTTGGGAAGGTGGCCTTTGACTGTGGAAACTGTGTAATTGAAAAACACTGAAGTTCCGAATAGAACTGTGTGGTTGGAATGAAGGAAGTAAAACCCACAGGACGCTGGTGGCGCACGCCTTTAATCCCAGCACTCAGGATGGAGAGGCAGGCAGTTCTCTGTGAGTTTGAGGCCAAGATTCTGGTCTACAGAGCAAGTTCCAAGACAGCTAGGAGTGTTACACACAGAAACCCTGCCTTGAAAAAAAAGAAGCAAAACCCTCTCCCCTAAGAAAAAGGAGGTTATTGGAGGACAGGGCAAGTATTCCAGAATCCCAAAGAGAAAATGCTTCCTTTGGCCATTATAGTTCACCTTGATTAAGGTTGAAGGTAAATATGCACCAAGCACCTTAATATAATTTGCCTTCCTTTGATAGAAATTTGAAAGGAGCCTTTTTCATAAGATATTGGCAACTGTAACCTACAAAACAAGACCATGAGTGTAAGTGGCTTTGTAGTTAATGATGTTCAGAGAATGCTGGGGGAGAAAATAGGGATACTCGAGAAAGTAAAACTTGGATTTGACAAAATAACTTTGAACTCTCAAACCCTTCGACAAAAGCAAGGTAAAGTGTGCTCTCCTGAATTTATGCTCAGCAGTAGAATGTAGAGTGTGCAGAAAGATGTTTGCTGTGCTGAAGGACAGAAGACAATCTCAGTAAGTAATATTGTTTAAAATTTCACATGATTGTAATGAAAAGAAAACCTCCACTCATCAGAAAAATCACATTGTTGTAGAGAGGATGTTAGAATTACTTTGTAGAAAATGTGTGTGTGTTTTAAAAAAGGACTGTTGTACAGTTCAGCAAATATTTATTCAGCATTTGTAAATACCTTGATGCTAAAAGACCACACTGTTCTTACAAAAGGCTCACAAATTACTGATAGTTTAGTAAAATTTATATTTAAGAAATACACTAATTACTAAGATATACTAAAATATAATTATGGCTAATTAAGGTATGTGTATTAGCACTTAGATTTTTATATTTAGAGGTTCACATGATAACTAGTTACCACCAAATGAGACTAAATTTGCAAAATTCAGTAATATCAAACATTCACATTTAAAACATTCCTACACAGTGATAGGGCAATTAATTTAATCATTTGTTTGAAGTGTAATCTCAAAGGCTTTACATAATAATATATTTAAAAGATTATTTGATTTCAGATTTTACTAAAAATACTTTTTATTTAAGTTGTCAAATACAGGTTAGTGCCTCTAATTTAAATACAGCTATGAAGTGCAATTTTGGTCTACAAGAGCTAGTTCCAGGACAGGAACCAAAAGCTACGCAGAAACCCTGTCTCGAAAAATCAAAAAAAAAAAAATGAAGTGCAATTGAGAAGCTGGTGGAATCTCCAGAAACTGACCATTTAAAAAACAAATTTGACTGGGCAGTGGTGGGGCATTCCTTTTATTCCAGTACTTGGCAGGCAGGAGCAGGCAGATCTCTGAGTTCAAGGACATCCTAGACTACAGAGCTAGTTCCAGCCAGGGCTACACAGAGAAACCATGTCTTGAAAAAAGGGTACAATCTCACAAATAATAGCAACAGGGCAAGCCAGATGAGACATTATGACTGAGGTCTCTAATCATAGTACTAAGGGGACAGAGGCAGGTGGGTCTCTCTGTGTTCCAGGCCAGACAGTTCTACATAGCAAGATCCAGACTACCATAATCTACACAGTGAGACCACATCTCAAAAATAGAAAAAACAAACAAACAAACAAACAGGTTGACAATTTAGCTCTATGTTGATTTTGCCTAACATGCTTGAGACACCGGATTCCAGTTCCAGGAACTAGTATAAGATGTAATACAATAAGCCTCAGCAAACATACACCAGTAGCATGCACATTCAGCTTAAAAGCTCTTTCGAAGGTTAAACAGAATTTACTACTACACTACAGTATTTAGAGGAAAAGGAAGCTATTCCGAAGTGTAGGACTTTCCTCTGTTTTTCTCTCAGATTCCAAAGTAGGAAATTCCTTTAGAAATTTGAACTCACCAGTCCCAGAGTCTCCCCCCAGGCAAACCTCATACTGGTAGCTCTGTGACAGGGTTCCTGTGCCATTGATATTCACCAGGTGACCAGGAAAGTGTCCCTCAGGCGCAGAGCAGCCACCCAGAGCGGATGCCCTGTCCCTCCTGCACAGCCTCGTCCCCACAAACAGCAGCACTGACAAGAGAAAGAGCGAAGACACAGACGCCAAGGCAATGACCAGGTACAGCGTGAGTGCGTCCTCATCCTGGGCGGGGTCGCGCGCCACCTCTGGCAGAGGCAGGAAGGGCTGAGAGAAGCCATCCACCAGCAGCACATGCAGAGTGACACTGGCAGACCGCGGAGGATCGCCATTGTCCTTGACCAGCAGCAGCAGCCTGTGCTTGGGTGCATCGCGCTCACTCAGCAGCCTGGAGGTGCGCACCTCGCCATTGTGAGCCCACACGCTGAACAGTCCGGGCTCCGTGGCCTTGAGCAGCTGGAATGACAGCCAGGCATTCTGTCCCGAGTCGCGGTCCACAGCCACCACCTTGGTGACCAGATAGCCTGGCTCTGCAGCCCTGGGCAGCAGCTCTGTGAAGGGCGCAGAGGCGTTCTGCAGCGGGTAGAGCACGAAGGGCGCATTGTCGTTGGCATCCAGGATCAGCACGCGCACCAGCGCCTGGCTACTGAGCGCGGGCGAGCCTTGGTCTGTGGCGCCCACGTGGAACTCGAAAGTTCGCAGGGTCTCATAGTCCAGCGCCCTGAGCGCGAACACCTGCCCGTTGTTGGCATTGATGGAGATGAGCGAGGAGAGATCCAACTGCGGGTCGTGGGTGGGCATCAGCGAGTAGGTGATGTGAGCATTGGAGCCTGAGTCTGAGTCTGTGGCGCTGATGGTGCCTATGTGCAGGGCGGGGCTGTTGTTCTCTTGGACAAACAGGGTGTAGGAGCTTTGATTGAAGGCGGGGGCGTTGTCGTTGACGTCAGACACCTGCACTGTTATGGTGTGCTGGGTTGTGAGCCTGGGTGTGCCCATGTCGGTGACTGTGATGGTGATGTTGTACTCAGATTGGCTCTCTCTGTCTAGTGCCCTATCTGTTTCCAAAGTATAGAAATTCTCCACGGATTGTCTTAGAAGAAATGGAAGATTGTCATCTATGGAACACATAACCTCTTGGTTATTTTCCGAGTCTGCATCTGAAACGCTGAACACTGCTACTATGATACCTGGCAAATTTTCAGGGATGGGGCTGTTGAGAGAGGATAGGATCACTTCCGGGGCATTGTCATTCACATCCAATACCTGCACGACTAAAGAGCACTTTCCTGTTAGCCCACCGCCATCCACGGCCTCAACACCCACATGGTAGGACTGAAACGCTTCAAAATCCAAGGCGCTCCTCAGTCGAATTTCTCCTGTCTTTGAGTTTATTACAAAAGGCTCGTTAACATCGTCATCTTGAAACAGGGCATAAGAAACCTCTCCGAAGGATCCCGTATCTAAATCTCTCGCTGAGACGGTAAGAAGCAGTGTGCCAATGGGGTTGTTCTCAGGGACCTGGACCTCATAGAGCTCCTGAGCAAACTCCGGAGTGTTGTCATTTATATCTAAGACAAGTATTTGAATCTCTGTGGTCCCTGACCTGGGGGGAGACCCGCCATCCACCGCAGTGAGCGTGAGTCTGAGCTGAGCCTGCCCCTCACGGTCCAATGCCTTGTCCAACACTAGCTCGGGGAACTTCTTGCCATCGCTGCGGTTGCGAGTGAGTACGTGGAAGTGACGGTTGTCGCTGACAGTGTAGCTCTGAATGCTGTGACTGCCGGTATCTGGGTCCTGTGCCATTTTCAAAGGGAGTATCTTTCCTGGCTCAGTTATTTCTGATATTTTAAGGAGCACCTCTCTGGCAGGAAACTCTGGGGCGTGGTCGTTTATATCTATAACTCTCAGTGCCGCCTGATAAAACTGCAAAGGATTGTTTAGTAACACCTGGAAAGGTAGCATACAAGGCTCCGTGGAGCCGCATAGCTCTTCCCGGTCCAGCTTTTCATTGAGCACCAAATCCTGGGTTTGTGGGTCAAGCTTCAGATACTGTCTGTTCCCCTTGAAAACCACTCTGGCGCCCCTAGCAGCCAGTTCTCCCATCCTTAGTCCCAAGTCCTTAGTCAAATTGGCCACAAACGTGCCACTTTCTGTCTCCTCCGGCACGGTATAATGAATTGATTCTGAACCCACCTCCCACGAAAGCATCCATGCAATTAAAATCATCACTTGCCTTGTCTTGCACCACGCCTTTGTTTGTGGCATCTCTACTGATGCAGGAGGGAAAATCCCTTTCAGGTCTTTATCACGGAGGTAACTTTGGCCTTCCAGAAAGTCTCTGCCGTGAAATTTTTGGATTTGGTCTTACACGTTCCCGGTAACCCCTCTTCTCCGGAGTGCTTTTGTCTTAGCGGCAGTAGCAAATGGTTCCTTATTTTGCT